TAACCAGCTTGGCTCGGAGGGTGTTTTTTTTGAGAAGGAAATTATGGAGGAGACTACGATCTTGGCTAGGAGGATATTTGAGAAGGGTATCATTTAGAAGGGTATTAAGGAGGAAACTAACCATATTGGCTTGGAGGATATTTTTTTAGGAGGGAAGTACAGAGGAGATAACCATCTTGGCTAGGAGAATATTTTTAGAAGGAATAATGGAGGAGAGGAACCATCATGGTTTAGGAAGATATTTGTTTTAGAAGGGATTTATGGAGAAGACTAACCATCTTGGCTAAAAGGACATTTTTTAGAAGGAATTTATGGAAGAGACAAACTATCTTGGCTAGGAGGACTTTTTTTAAGATGGGAATTATGGAGGAAACAAATCATCATGGTTAGGAAGATAGTTTGTTTTGAAGGGATTTATGGAGAAGACTAACCATCTTGGCTAAAAGGACATTTTTAGAGGAAATTTATGAAAGAGACTAACTATCTTGGCTAGGAGGATTTTTTTTAGAAGGGAATTATGAAGAAGACCAAAGATTTTAGGTGGAAAATGGACTGGAATATTGATGTTTAATATGTCGAGTTCACTTGGCAAAGAAAATGAACTAATTATGAGTTGTTCAATTTCCATTGAAAGTGATCAATACTCATTTTTGAAAAATAACCACCAGAATGTCAAAGGTTGGACGCAATTAAAGATGTTGCAAGACTGGACTTAAAATCACAAAAACCAGGGACTAAGCGTTAAGTTACGGAAGACGGATAGTGCCACTCAATGAGTGTGAATATATTTTTTTGGTGCGTGTGAAAATATTTTTTTGTACAGCGACCGCCACTATAATTATGGCGACTTATGTGGCGGTCGCCACGTATTATCTGGCGGCCGCCACATAATAAGTGGCGCCGGTGTGCAAAAACAAAATATTTTCACACGCACCAAAAAAATGTATTCATACTCATTGAGTGGCACTATCCGTCTTCCGTATAAAGTGGATACTGGGAAGAGCTCTAAGTGCATGTCTCCATGCATGGACAAAAGAGGGCGCTTTATAGTCAAACAAGCAGAAGCCGGAATGAGGGACACTTCACTGGTTCACTCATGCTGGTTATCGTTATTTGGTACCAGCATTTATAAGCCACGATGGCGCCCAAATGGCCCTCGTTGATAGTTTTTCTCTGTGGGGGGGGGGGGGGGGGGTGCTTTGAGCGCAAGAAGGAGATTCTACCTTCTCGTTGAGCGTAGTGACTTCCTCCTTGCTGATCTTCCAAGGAAACTTCTCCGTGGTCTCCCCTGCTTCCTCATCCAGCATCCAGGATTTGGACAGCTCTTTGAACCGTCTCAGGCTTACTCCCTGGGCTTCTTGTTCAGGTCCGGATGACCTCCACGTCTGAGCAGTTGATCGGAACTTGCTGAGCATGTTGGCCATGTTCATCTTCTCCCTGTCCATTTGCTCCTTCTTGCCCGTGGCGGCAAAGACGCGCAGGCTTGCATTTCTCCCAGTTGGATTTCATGGAGATGAGGTTGGGATGAGTAGGGTCAAGCCTGGGGGGGGTGGTGGGAGGTGGGGGCGGAGGTGGTGGGAGGGGGGGGTTCACAAACAAAAAATTATACAGAGCATTATTTCCCTTTGACATAAAGCATGTGTTTCCTTAGACATGCAGCCATCCAGTAACCTGAGAGATCTCTGAAAGGCTCCATGAAATGAATTGGACACTGAAACATATTTTAAAATAATATTGCCAACCAAGAACAAAAAGCGTGGTGTTTGCTATCACATATAAAAAAAAAAGTGTGGTAGGGTAGGTAAAGATCTCTTTTGGGGGGTTTGACATTTCTATAGCCTAAAAATATAGGGTGGGATGATATATATAGTCATTAAAATTTACTTTTTTCTCTACTTTGCATGCATGATAACATGTAAAACATTCTGCACTACGGACCAACTTACACAAAAATAAATATAAAGTTTATAGTTTGTTCGCTGTGGAGGGGGGGGGGGGGGGTTGCTTGAGCGCAAGGAGGAGATTCTACTTCTCTTTGAGCGTGATGACTTCTTCCCTGATGATCTTCCAAGGAAACTTCTCCGTGGTCTCCAGGCTGCTTCCTCAT